AAGGTTCAAACAAATTTTTAATAATGTTTTTATCTAATTTTGTTTACTTCAGTATATGATACATTATTAAGTTTATTCATGCAAATACACATTAATTATTAGTTTTATTTCCATCATGTTTAAAAGTGCAATGATAAACAAAAGCTTTCCTTCATTCCTCGGGATTTTCTTTGTATAAAAGCATAATACTATACATATTATTAATTTTATTTTCATCATATTTAAAAGTACATTGATAAGCAAAAAGTTTCCTTCACTACTCGGGATTTTCTCAGTAGAAAAGCTAAGAAAATTAAAAAATGAAATTAGCCAAAGAATTTAAAATTTAGAATAGCCACATTAGGGCTAATGTGTTTGACATTGAATTACAAATTGTTCAGTAATCTGAATTGTGCATTATAAAGGGAATTAGAGTAAGTTTACAGTTCCTTTGATATGATGTCATAGCATGAAAACGTCCCAGTTTCCTCACAAAAATCTCTGAATTCTTAAGATTTCAAGGTTAACAGCTATGTTCTGTGTCATAATTCAGTAATTCAAGTCCCACATTTGCTAACACATTTATTTTTGATATATACTTTTTCATGCAAAGTTGTGGCATTTTTGTGCTTTTTTTGCTGGAAAAAGCAGAATTCATTGATCCCATTCTCAGTAGAGATTTGCAGATGTCTAAGACCAGTTATTTAAAAATGTTCCATTTTAGAATAGGTAGCCGGTCACAGAAGTGAAAAATGCATACTAAAATGTTTTTAAATGACTCTTTGCAGAACATATATCTGATAGTTTTCGGGGATGCAGTTTGCTTTTTGATCCTGCGCTTAGTTACCTTTCCAATAGAATATTTCCATTTGATTTTTAAGTATTTCAGCATAATGAAAATACTTTACCTTTGAAACAAGGATAAAAGGCAGGTGATAAAATATTTTACAATGTCTATTAACAGAACTTGCAATCAATATTTTTACTAAAATAACAATTTTGTTTGGCGCATGAAAAAGCATGCAAAGGATATCTGCCCAAGGGAATGGATACCTTTCTGAAGGACTTCCTAAGGGAAGGCTACATAGCAGTGGAAGCAGCCTGTAGAATAAGCTCTTCTGCACAATAGTACATGGTTTTTTACACTTCGCTCTTTGCAGACTCTAGTTGTGGGTTATTTGGAACTTATATTTGTTTAATGAATACACTGCTTTCCGTCTGTAAATCTTGCAACTTCTTACTAAAAACAAATGTAAGATTTGTCAACCATGTTAGGAGGAATGGGCTTGAGATGTCGCTTTAGCTTACCTGGAAGCATAGTTTCCAGTGCAAAGACTTTTTAAGCTAACAACACGTATCATGATTATCTACTTCTACTAAAGTAAAACCAAAATCAAAGCAACTGTCCTTTTAGTTATGATATTTTTGCTTCTTTTCTCCTGTACCAGATGTCAATGCTGTACGGCTCAAACTTGATCTATCATTACTATCAATTTGCTTGTTTAATAAAAATCTTTTCATTTTGTGAAATATCAGTAAGGACTTGTCAGTTTATTGCAATAATTCATCGAGATCATGACTTTTTACATAGACGTATAAGACTGTATGACTATCCCACACATGCATGAGTTCGATACTGACAGTTGTGAGCAGAAAAAAGAAATGTTAACAGATGCCAATCTTGTGAATGGAAGTAACAGGTGCAAAAAATGTATGGGAATAATTGAATAAAAATCGGATGCCATAACTTAGAATTATTTGCAAACTGAAAGAACCATGTGGTAAAATAAAATCCTGCTTTAAGAAAATGGAATTGAGAATGAGAATCACTTTAGATTAAAAGGACAAATAGAAGTGTTAAAAATATAATTTTTAAATAAAATTAGATGAACAACTGAAATATAAATATTGAGCAAAAATCAAGGAATTATTATTTCAAGAAAAAGAATAAAAACTCCAGACAAAGTTCCACATAATGAATAACATCTTAGCAATAATTTCACTCCAGGATATTAAATTTTCATTGCCTAATTTATATGAAAATTTGTGTTGCAGTATAAATTTATTATGATTTGCTAACAATATTTTTCCTGAGCTTTAGTATTCTAAGGTTTATATACATGTGGAAAGGCTAATCTACATTATTTGCATAATAATAATTATAAATATATAACAGTACAACTTTTATCTGAATTAATAGTTTGTTTTTGTAGAAGCTTTAGGAAAAAAGCTAAGTAAAGGAGTTTATGAAAGGTTAAAGTTTATTAATAAAATAATATTGATAAAATTTTATTTGTTGCTCCACTATATCATTCTTTGTAGTACATCATCTTTGTTATGTGTGATGGCATAGGTCAGATATGTTCAATTACGAAGTCTGGCGATTATATTGGTTAAGGCAATTGTAACCTGTTGTGTTTTGAGGTGCCACCCTGATTGGTATGTATAGTGATTTAAGATGCTGATTACCATATCACCTGGTCCAGTGTTGAAGCCTGAAGAAGACATAGATGTTTGTAAGTATATAGTGTCCTTGCTGCATGCGGGTATTTAAAATAATGGTGAGCGGAAAGTCCCCTTAACAGGTTTGGTGTTTCTAGAAAATGGGTTGTAGACCTCATGCATTCTGCAGTGTGACCTCCACCAAAATTAGGGCAGGAGCTGTATGATTATTACCTGTACTACCATTAGTGAAATTCTGGGGCCAGCCAACTCCATTGTTTTGTAATCTGAGGTAGTGTTGTAGAGTCGTTAGGTTAATTGGAAGCAGAAAAGATGAAAAATATGCAACCGCCTTCGCCGGGAATCGAACCACGGACCTTTCGAATACCTGCCCAGCGTGCTACCTTTACACCACGAAGACATGCTAGAGAAATACCTTACATACTCCCCTTTTTAAAGGGCGACTAGGGTTTTAGGGGACCTAGTCGCCAAATTCTGGGTGCGGAGAATCATCATCCACAACCCTTTTAGTTCGGGCGCCACTTGTAGAGTCATTAGGTTAATTGGAAGCAAAAAAGATGAAAAATATGCAACCGCCTTCACCGGAAATTGAACCACGGACCTCTGGCATACCGGCCCAGCATGCTACTGTTACACCACGAAGGCACGCTAGGGAAGTGGAAGAAATACCTTATAGTGTCAACTGTTGAATGTAAACTGTATTCTCTCATTTTCCTGTTAGAAGATGGGTATAGTGCTTCAGAAAATAAGGGACAATCAGAGGCTTTAATATGTTTTTAATGTAATGCTGACTGTATCTGTGTAAGTTGTTCAATGTATTGTTGGAGCCTCAGGGACTGGTGCTTTTTCATTAAGGTAAGTTAACCAATGGTTAGTGTGCAAACAGTTCAGGACCTTCAAACAGTATCTCATCATATATGTGAACATATTTTGAGACATATATAGTTTATCATGTGCTCTAGTGCTTACTGTGGCTGTATGGTTCATATAGGCTGTTCACATTAGATATTCGTTCTGTCGTGTATTGGTAGGTCAAGGCCACTGGGATCCTACTTATTACTTCCTTCCACAATGTGGGATTTGTTGTATCTGGTATGTTGTTCCCTCCAGATCAACTGATGACCTGAAACACTCTCCAATGTGAATCTGGACTCGTCTGTGAAGAGAGCATATGCCCATTGTTGACTGGTGCAGGAGGCTTGTCTGCACCTCTTGTGTCCTCGTGTCAAGGGGACACAAATAACTGGCTGTCTTCCATACAGACCTGTATTGTGTAGGCATTTGCATGCTTTAGTTGCTGAGATTCTTGTTCCTGTTGCTACTAAATGATCTGCCATTAGTTGAGGTACAGTAATGTTACTCCTCCTTTGAGTCGAAAGAGCTAAATAACGGTCTCCCACAGGTATTGTAACTCTAGGTCTGCCTGGAACATGTCTTCTAGACACAGTATCCTCATATTCAAACTTGTCTGCACCTCTTGTGTCCTCGTGTCAAGGGGACACAAATAACTGGCTGTCTTCCATACAGACCTGTATTGTGTAGGCATTTGCATGCTTTAGTTGCTGAGATTCTTGTTCCTGTTGCTACTAAATGATCTGCCATTAGTTGAGGTACAGTAATGTTACTCCTCCTTTGAGTCGAAAGAGCTAAATAACGGTCTCCCACAGGTATTGTAACTCTAGGTCTGCCTGGAACATGTCTTCTAGACACAGTATCCTCATATTCAAACTTGTCTGCACCTCTTGTGTCCTCGTGTCAAGGGGACACAAATAACTGGCTGTCTTCCATACAGACCTGTATTGTGTAGGCATTTGCATGCTTTAGTTGCTGAGATTCTTGTTCCTGTTGCTACTAAATGATCTGCCATTAGTTGAGGTACAGTAATGTTACTCCTCCTTTGAGTCGAAAGAGCTAAATAACGGTCTCCCACAGGTATTGTAACTCTAGGTCTGCCTGGAACATGTCTTCTAGACACAGTATCCTCATATTCAAACTGATTCCGTAGTTGGTGGACTACACTACAAGAGACATCGAGACGTCTAGCCGCATCAGCTTGGGATATCCCCATTTCCATCCATCTGATCGCCTGCCACCCCAACGAATCGGGCAGTCAACTTCTCCTGGACATTTATAGACTGTCCAGGATATTGTCAACGAAACTGCTAATAACAATTGAAGATCAACCTTCATGAGCAAAACTTAAAATTTTTGCTTTTTTCCTCCAACTTTTATATAAGTATTCCTTTCTATAAAATAAAAGTGATAGCTATTGTTTTTGCATATATTTTCTTAAACTTCATTACTATCATGCATATAATGTGTAAATTTAAATCTTACTGACATTTTTGTAAGGTGAGCCTTCAGAAACATGCTGTTCCTTCACTTTTGGAAGGCAGTGTATACATGGCTATTAATGTAACATTCTTAATTTATTAATGTTAGATAAATTGCTGTATTGCTACTCGCAGGCCTTCAATATCAGTACTTTCTCATTTACTTCAGATTTATTGTTTATGTAATTTTGCTGATTTAGCTTCCCTTTCTTTTTTATTTTTCAGATTAAGAGACTCTGCTGGATGGCAGTTAGCATTTATGAGTCCATATATAGAACCTATAGTGGACAGAATAGCTCTAAATGCCAAAGTTATTGTTAGTAATCCTGTTGAAAATTGTACGAAAATGCTAGCTATTGCTTATAGCTCCCAAGTAAGACTTTGGGGAATCACTGAAGAAGGAATTAAATCTGATATTGGTAATTATTTTGTTCTCATTAATTTGCTGTATGCTGAAATATGTTCAGTATAATCAAAACCTTTTTATATTTCTCTTGTACTTGTTCTCTTTTTTAATATTTTGAATGTTTGAATTAATTAGTTTATATACCCAGAATCATTATGCTCTTTTGGGTAAAATATTGTGTTAATGTCAATCAGTGACAGACTACTGGGTTATTCTGTTGCTGAAATATTTGAGTTACATGAATTCCATAGAATGAAATTTCTATAAATCATATTAATACTTCTTGGAGTTATGTTCCCAAGAACATTTGCACTGATAAGAGTGAGAAAGAGCTCTTGTCTGAACAAAACCAATAATTTTTTTTAAGTGTTTTTTTTTTAAAATCAGGGCCTTCTAAAGTAATGTACGAATGAGATTTGCATATCCTTTATGCATGGAAAATGGGCCACAATGTGTCAAAACCAGTTTACAACATTGATGGAATATTTGATAAAGGTACACTAAGTAGACATATAGCACAAGTATGTGTTTATCTGGTATGAATTTGTTCTTCACAAGCATAGGCCACTTGGCAATGGCAAATAAAGATAGCAGGATAAAGAATACTTCAGACACTTAGCACTTAGACATCAATGTAGCCCCTCAGCTGATCAAACTCATTACCCAATTTTAAAATTTGTTTGATGTGTGATGCGCAGGCTTACACTGTGCTAAGCCAGCAATGACTATTTTCATAATCTCTGTTATACCTTCCTTGGATATTCCGTAACTATATGTAGGAATTTGACTATTTGGGACTCAGGTGGGGAAGATAGGCTTGCATATAATAAATAACTAAACTAATATAATTCTGGCTTAACTTTGTCATCATATGATAGAAGCAAGACAATTAACAGAACAGCATGTCTCTTATCTCATAATACATCACCAATAGTATATAACATATGCTTGGTAAGTTTTATGATGATAGCTGCGATTTTGTGGATTTTTCAGATATTGCGAACAAAAAGTGAATTTTCCAATTAATGGAATTTTTTAAAAAATATGCAGATATGGTAATATAAATGATGATATGACAGAATTTTTTTTCATTGCGATGATAATGTTCCAATCACCAGTCAGCTATATAGCGAAATCTGTGATACGATTCTAAATCCAGGAAATATCACTACTGATAGTGAAAAAAGTGACAGAGGTTGTTAAGAACAAAAGAATTTCGATTGATAATTTAGGAGGAATTTGCGACATAGCAATTGCTGGATGTGAAGAATGGAACTTTGTAGTGGAATAAGAAATTATGTGTATCTGTAGAATTAAAGAGAAAGTATTAACACAGAAAGTAAAACAGCTTAAAAAATTTACATTTAAAAAAAAGTGTAATAAAGCAAACTGAGTTTTTTCTTTCTTTCTTTTTTTTTTCTTTTGTAAATTTTATCTCCCTAACATCCTAAATGCTTTCATTATTTTCTAAAGCACTATTTCATATTTTTAATTTTATCACTTTTACATATCCAGATTTAAAGTGATGATCTAATATCCAGAATCACCAAAGTCCCAGTCTCAGACTTTGTACTGTATTACAGCATGTCGAAAGAATGTGTTCAGTAATCCTGAATTGAGTGAAATTTTTCGTAGATTTTATTCAGTAGTAGTGTAACTCAGAACTTATTGTATGCAGTTAGGTATGTGTGTATGAAATGTATATGTGGAAATCTGGAACATAGGAAAATGTTAAACACTGTTCTGACTTCAATAAGATCGATATTTATTTACATTTTTTGAATATTGAATTACACAGACGGAAATTCAGTCATTGTTCTCTTTCTTCTCGTAAGCTTAATGTTGCCACACTAGCGAAAAGAAAATAGCATGCGAGGAGTTTCACAGATGGCATTTCATTAATGCAAATGATGTCACCACGTACCCTTTTCTGAGTGATAGATTTATACCTCATAATCTTTCAGGTATGCAGGAAATCTCGCTCTTCGTCCAGCTTTTGTGTTTCTAGATTGAATATCTTTGGAAGAATCATTGTCTGTAGGGAGTGGGGGCTGAGATTTTGGAATTATCATCTTCATGTGTCTGGAGATATGTTATTTCTTCTTTCTGTCTATCGATATCCTTTCAATTCTACCTGAAACTTCATAAAAAATTTGTCAAAACGTTGTTTAACTAAATATGATCTGAGATAGGGTGGTTGAAGAGAAGGTGAAACTATGTTACAGATGAATACGTATGAAAAATTTGCAAAGTCCTTGTGCATGAAAAAAAAAAAATTCCCCATGGCTGGTTTGTGGTGTTAGTTTTAGCTTCTGGATGTGACTTTGCAACAATTGTATAAAATCTGAATGCATGATAGTGGGGGCATAACTGAAAAATTCTCCAAACAAACAGATTGGTGTGCCATACACAAGTTCAGCAGAAGAAGAATGCCAATCCTCTAATGGTGGATTGAATGCCAAGAAGAATCAAAGGTAGGACATCAGTATAAGAATTTGATGTTTGCAGGTGGGATGTTTGAGCATGGTGAACTTTTACCATCGCTTCATTCCAAACTACAACAACCCCTGACAATCTTGTTTAAAGGAGTGAAAAAAAACAGGGAAAACCTTTAATTTGGACTGAAGATGCAAAGAAGGCTTTCATTGATATCGAAAGCGCACTGTGCAACTCTATAATGTGAGTTGACCCCAACCAAAAGGCGCAGATCACCCTAACTACAGATGCATCTGATTCTGCCATGGGCACCATGATTCATCAACTATCCAATAATGGGAGAAAAAAACTGCTAAGCTTTTTCTCCTGATCCCTATTATCAACACAGAGAAATTACAGTGAGAACTACTTGCAATCTACCTAGCCGTGAAGCATTTTAAACAAATTCTGGAAGGACAATCATTTACTATCGTGACTGATTATAAACCTATCACTTTCGCCTTTCACCAGAATTTAGATAAAGCCTCTCCAAGACAAGTACGGCAGTTGAACTACATTGCCGAGTTCACTGCAGACAAATATTATGTTTCTGAAGAAGAAAACATAATAGCTGATATGCTATCTGCAATCGACACCATCGCTATCCCACCTCCAATTGATTATACAGTTATTGCAGATCGCCAGGAGGATGAAAACCTCAGGATTCTTAAATCAAATTCCAGTTTCAAAATAGTACAAATTCCTTTTCTGGATAGCAATAAGAAAATTTACTGTGATACCTCCATTAATTTTAAGAGGCCATAAATCCCTAAAGAATTCCACGAAAAAGTATTTTTCTCTATACACAACTTATCATGGAATTCGTGGAATAAGGAAGCTGGTGACAAAATGATTAATTGACCTGGCATAAACCAAGACCTTCAGCTGTGGTCTAGAGCATGCTTGCAATGCCAACGAGCCAAAGTTCACAAACATACCCGTGCTCCAGCTGCTGAATTCAAAGTTCCCAATCAATGTTTCAATTACCTTAATATCGATATTGTTGGCCCTTTACCATCTTGCAAATGTTTTAGGTGCCTGCTTACCATCATCGATAGATTCACTCGGTGGGTTGAAGCTGTACCTTTGGGAGACCTAAACTGGAGAGTTTGTCGTAAATGCCCTCGTCGTGACTTGGATTTCGAGATTTAGAATCCCATAGAAGATAACATCTGACCAAGGTCAACAATTTGATATCCAACTCTTCTGATCCTTGAAATAGCCTGGAATCCCACCTGCAAACATCAAATTCTTGGACCTTTGAATCACATCCGGGTCACTAGTGTGGAAGTCTGGAACATAGGAAAATGTTAACACTGTTCTGACTCCAATAAGATTAATATTTATTTCCATTTTTTTTGGATATCAAATTACACTGGCAGAAATCAATTATTGTTCTGTTTCTTCTCAAAGGCTTAATTTTGCCACATTGCTGAAAAGAAAATCACATGCGAGGAGTTTCACAGATGGTGCTTCATTAACAGAAATGATGTCACCTTAGTATGTAATTAAATTTTGTATAGTTCCTCACTTTCTAATTTAAAAGAAGTCATATATACAGTATTATACACTGGTGTGCAAAAATTAAGGACGAGACGGTTCTTTCAATATAACTTTGTACAAAAGCTTTCCAAATCAACACATTTAATACCGTAAGATCCCCAATATGTAAAGACATGAGTAATGTAAGCAACACTTACTAAAAGAGAAATCAGAGGGATAAAAAGAAGCTTTATTGAAAAAGTAGCATGGAGCGCAATGCGACTGAAAGCCGAAACATCCCTGTGATGGGTGTCCAGCAAGAAACATCCGATCTTTAATAGGGGATATGATCTTCCCTGACTGCTAGGCAGGTTTCACAGTGTCTGCCCATGCTGAGAATGAGGGTGTCAATGAGTTGTTGAGGCATTGCTGTCCATTCGTCTTGCAGCACCAATCGAAGCTCCGGAATCATTACTGGTGGTAAGGTACGAGCTGCCAAGCGTCTGCCTAGAAAATCCCATACATGCTCGATGGGATTGAGATCCGGATATCGTGCCGGCTAATCCATCAATATCTTCACTCTCTAAGAGCTGTTCGGCAGCTACTGTGCGATGACATGGTGCATTGTCATCCATGAAAAGGAACTGCGGACCCATAGCGCCTCTAAAAAAGACGCACATATGGAAGAAGAATCTCGTTACAATAACGGGTCCCGTTCACTGACCCTGCATTGAAGATTTGAAGGTCTGTACGACTATCAAGCATGATGCCTCCCCAAACGAGAACACCGCCACCTCCATACCTGTCCCTTTCAATGATGTTCGAGGGATGATTGCGGCTTCCTTGCTCTCTCCAGATGAGTATGCGATGAGAATCGCTACTCAGACTGAATCTGCTCTCATCTGTAAAGAGTACTCGTCCCCATTCATTGTCTCTCCAATTCCGGTGTTCCTGGCACCACAGAGAACGCCTTCTCCGATAGGCAGGCGTTAGAGGTACACCGTACAGGGCGTCGTGCAAACACACCACCACCATGCAGTCTTCTGGCAACGGTAAAATGCGATATTGGTCGTCCAGTCGCCTGTGTCGTGAGTCTAGCGATTTCTCCCACTGTCTGCCGCCTGTTTCTTCTGGCCTGTAAGGCAATATACCGGTCATGTGCGGGTGTGGTTCCTTGTGGACGACCACTACTAAACCCCCGGATAGCTGTTCCTGTAGTTTGAAATTGTCTCCAAAGTCGTGAAACGATGCTGTGAGCAATTCCGAACTCTTCCGCCACACTTGTCACACTGCGGCCTTCCTCCAAGTTCCCAATGATTCGACCTCGGGTAAAAGCATCCAGATGTCGTCTAACAGATTGATTATTCGTCATTTCTCGCTGAGGCAGCAATTCGGTGTGATTTTAACTGCTATACGGCGTGCAATCTCTTTGCCGGAAATACTGATCTTACACCGACAACATGCTTTATACTTAGACACTCCCCCATTACGTCTACCTGCATATCTGCGCATGTGCTACCGTATATCACCTTACTTAATCTCCTGATTGGTCTTTCTGTCCGCTCTGCCTCTTCGTTCAGCTGATATGCTAATTTTTTGACTTCGTCCTTAATTTTTGCACACTAGTATATATTACATATGCATATCACAACAGCCTAAGATATTTAGGGTAAAGGTTATTCAATTTCAAGGCTAGGAAACAACTAACATTGAAAGAAATGTTTAATAAAGTAAACAAATAAATATTAAGCTTTTTTTTTTTTTTGTAAATTTTGATACCCTTTAGATCATAATTGCTCTTTATTTCATAAATTACAGTTTCATATTTTTAATTGTATAATTTCTGCATGTTATCTTACCAGATTTAAATTGATGATCTATAATCCATAAAAACCCCTAATCTGGAATCGCTGAAGTCCCAATGAGTCCGGATTATGGACTTTGTACTGTATATTACAAAATTATAATACTATAAAAATTTGTATTGATCTCTGTGATTAACTGTATCTTGAATGGAGTTGGTTGCAGACCAAATACATATTGCATCCAGAAAGTAAGTTTCCCTATTTAAAAAAAAAAAAAAAAAAAAAAAAAAAACCCTCATACTTTCAGGAATATTGGCAACAAGTACAGCAATGCTTCAGCTATTTTTCTACATAGCCACCACCAGAATTGAGACACTTGTATCATGGGATCAACTTTTGTATTCCTCTGTCGTAGAACTCTGCCACCTGTGAATGGAACCAGTGTGTGACAGATGTCTTCAGCTCTTCGTCGTTGCCACAACGCTCACCAGAGGACAGGAATTTCTTGAGGTGCAAGAAAACGTGAAAATTGCTGAGAGCAAGATCAGGGCTGTAGGGTGTATGATCAAACAACTCCCAGCCAAATTCCGTCTAAACAGCTGCTGTGCGTTGAGCCGTATGTGGACGAGCATTGTAATAGAGGAGCACAACACCTGCAGTAAGCATTCCACGCCTCGTGTCTTGAATGGCATGTTGCAATTTCCGCAGTGTTTCACAGTAACTTTCAGCATTTACTGTTTCACCTTGTGGAAGGAACTCAATGAGCAAAATGCCCTTCCTGTCCCAGAACACTGTGCACACCACTTTCTGTATCGACAGCATCTGTTTTAATTTCGTCCTGACCAGAGATCCACTATGCTGCCTTGTTTCTGGGGTGAAGTGCGAAATCCAAGTCTCATCGCCATGACGATCCTGTCGAGGAACTCATCACCGTCCTTGTGATACCGTTGCAGAAATGTCAGTGCTGCTCCTAAGCCTTCAATTTTGTGTTTGGGTGTCAGGATTTTCGGCACCGACCTGGCACACAATTTTTTTTAACAGCGGTTGCTTAGTGACTATCTCATGCAACAAGGATCGCGATATCTGCGGAAAATGGCTGCTCAGCTCTGTAATCGGGAAGTGACAGTTCTCCATCACGTGCTGCCGCACAAGCTCAACATTATAATTCGGTGATACCGACTGAACCTCACAGGCGGCGGGAGAAGGAATAAGAGCTTCCATTTCAGACCACTGCTACCTGGCACGAGGCAGGATCTGTCCAGCTGGCATATGATTGATACATCATAGATCTGTTACGCATGTGCAATTGGCACGGCTAATTACGTTTACTTTAAAGGGGAAATCATCGGGAAACTTACTTTCTGGATGTGCCTCGTAGTTCAAATTTAAATGGTGTTTCAAATAAAGTAGGCTTTTAGGTTCAGATAATTTAAATAGCATGATGCTTTTCAGTAAAACCATGCAAAATTAATTTTTTTAACAGCCTTCTTTTAAAGAAGTTGATATTTAATAAGTTTTTTTCCTTTGCTGGAGATTTTTTTTTTGAGGGGGTGCATCAGTAATGTGCAAAATCAGCTTTTAAAAAATTGTTAAAATTGCCATTTAAATTATTTTCCTCATACATGAAAATATTGAGCTGGTGGTTATATAAAAATAGAGCTGTCAGACTTAATATTAACATTTTTACAAATGAGAAATTGAAACCAGTCCTCCTGTCTGAATGCTTATCGAACACAAAAGCATTCCTTAAAACTTTGCATTAAAAAAACTTTTCGTACAAAGTCTAAATGTGCTTGGACAATTTTGATCATGCTGAAAATGTGATAAATTTTAAATGCTTAATTTCTGTAATGTTAAAATTTCATTAAATAAGTTTTCTTAAAACCGTTGCAGGTATAATTTGACAATATATTGCTATACAAAAGATTTGGGTGACTGTAATTGATGGCATTCATTTTGTGAAAGAGAATGGTGTAAAGTTGTATTTCCTGCCTTAAGATTGTATACTAAATCAGTGTAATGTGTTTAGAAGTTTTTCATTTGAGAGATAGCTGAATAATTTTATCTCATTTTCTTTCAGTTAAATTATCTTGTGTCAACTAAAATTACAATTATATTATTAAATATATATTTTACTTTTTAAGGTACATTCCAGTTTACTGCTTCAGTTGATCATTTATTTTTTATTGGGAGTCAGCTAGTTGCTTTAAGTCATATTGGAAAAGTAGGTGTTTGGCATGCTATGACTCAGCATTGGCAGGTACCAAAATTTTCTTCTAAAGGCTATTATTTAATTTTTGCCCTGTAATCATTAATTTTTAAACATATTACTGTGGAATTGTTTGTTTTGCAGATTCAGGATGTAATTCCTATTACAAGTTTCGATACTGCTGGTTCTTTTCTGTTATTAGGATGTAATAATGGATCAATTTATTATATTGGTAAGCAAAAGCTAGTATGGATTTTCTTCACGTTTCAATATTTTGCTGTACTTCCTGTAACTGTTTATAACAAGCTATTAAATTTTTGTTTTAACTTTATTTACTTAAATATCTGTAAAGTTTGATGTTATATATTTGTATCCCAGTATGTACAGGTAAGATACAGGCATAGGCAGATGTGCTAAGTAAGAAAATTAAGGTAATTCAGATTTAGTTTGAATATGCAGTTGATCCTAAATTCATATATTCTTTGCATAATAAAAGATTATTTCATATTATGTCCACTAAATTTTTTTAAGTAATTTTACCTGTAGTTGATTGAATTTTACATAAAATCTGACAATATTGCATATGTGTTGTACATTTATATTGTAGAGTCATTAGGATTTTTTTAGAGGCCAGCAAGATGAAAAATTAGCAAACGCCTTCGCCGGGAATCGAACCACGGACCTCTGAAATACCGGCTCAGTGTGCAGAACCACTACACCACGAAGGACGCTAGGAAAGTGGGAGAAATACCTTATATGCTCCCCTTTTTAAAGGGCGACTAGGGTTTTAGGGGACCTAGTCGCCAAATCCTGGGTGCGGAGAATCATCATCCACAACCCTTTTAGTTCGGGCGCCACTTGTAGTCATTAGGATTTTTTTAGAGGCCAACAAGATGAAAAATTAGCAAACGCCTTCGCCGGGAATCGAACCACGGACCTCTGAAATACCGGCTCAGTGTGTAGAACCACTATACCACGAAGGACGCTAGGAAAGTGGGAGAAATACCTTATAATATAAGCTTTCTCAATTTCTTTTGAAAGATAAAACTAAAGGGGAACTGCATTTTGAGTAAGATATATGCTACCTATTTGAAAAATTGCACTGAAATTATGAAATATAATTTATGTTTAGTAAAATAAATGTAGATATGCTCAAAATATTACATCTATATTCTATAATTTGTGTCAGCTTCTCATCAAGTTTTTTCATTGACTGAAGTTGGACAGTAATTGTCTATTTTAATTGCCTATTATTGCTGAGTTTAGAACGAATTTTCTGAAAATATTTATTATATATGTGGGCCCAATAGCCACCAAGCGTTAAAATTGCTGAACTCTGCTAGTTTGACATGAATTTGATTCTAAGAAACAGGCAGGCTGCATATACATTTTTCATGGTTTTCCTCGTGTGCAACATTGGTATGACCCTCTTTCCCTTAGAAAGTCTTTCCTGTAGGCAAATAGCCCTCATATGCTTTGACATAATCAAATAATCCAACCGCCCCCCCAAAAAAAACATATCTGTATATGTACAAGGTGGCCCAAGAAAAATAAAACACAAAGCAAGTGAAGAGCCCATGTACTATAAGGGGACTCTGTTGTAAAATGATTCTGTTCATTTAGAATAAAATATGCTCATCAAATAGCTAAATTTTGAGAATAAAATCTTTTTAATATCAGCATCTTAAATTTATTTGACATTAAAATTGTAATCTCATTTACAGGGTGGCCCATTGCTGTATTATATGCAAAGTTGTGTTTAAGTAAATTGTTTTTAAATGTTATATTTCATTTGACTGATGTCGTACATCGGTTTTCATTAAACATGTGTTAATGTACTTTTTGTTTATGTTCTGCAGTCATATTAAAACTGTACTTTACCACTTCTCATAGTATTTTGCTCATACATGATGTTATGTTATGTGTATACAGGGTGATTATAATAAAAGTTGCGATTTCAAAGTGCTGTAACCTTGAAAACTACTGGTCAGAATGACTTCATATTATACCAGAACAATCCTGAGGCAATGGAATTTTGTTTGGTGAAGGAAAAAAAATTACTTCAAAATTTTGTGGATAGATGACGCTGTCAGTGTTCACATTGCTGTTGTGGATGAAAAGCCGAAAGGAAATAATAGACTCAAAGGGTTTACGACAGTTTTATTAGCGAAAAGACATTGATACATATTTACAGAGAAAACAGCGATATTAACAAGTGAAGGTTCATGAAACAGACACCTTACGGATGATTAACATATAAGTTGTTTGATAAGCTCTCCTCCTTGTTCCACTGCTAATTGGAAGCGCAAATCTACATGTACCACAACAGATCAGAGTATATCTGTGCTGATGTTATGAATATGATGTGGGATACTTGCCTTCAAGTTGGCCAGATTCGCAATCCGCCCACTATAAACAACACAGATATCCCCAAAGCCAAAAGTCACACAGGTTTAAGCCAAAAGAGCATGGCGGCCACACTGTTGGAAAATGGAGGCTTTTGATTTTATCATCTCTGAAATGAGCGATCAGCAGCTGCTTGACACGAGTAGCAATGTGCGGAGGAGTGCCATCTTGCGAGAATATTGTGCTATCCGCACATTGACACTGCTGAAGTGCTGGAAGGACATCGTTATGCAAAAGGGCTTACCACTTGCGAGTAACAGCGCTGGTAATGGGAACCACAGGTGTGATCTCCTTGAGGAACTGACTGACGACAAATGCTGCCGTTATTCACTCCACACCATGACCTTTTCAGAATGAAGTGGTAATGGCTGTAGCGGGAACAGATTTTCAGTTGCCCATATTCTGCAATTTTGTGTATTTACGGAACCTTGCAAATGGAAATGAGCTTCATCATACCACGGAATATGTAAGGCGGTTATTCATTATCTGGTTCTAGGGAAAAAAAAAGGAAAAATGCCCACAGGAAAAATTCTCACAGAATAATGCTCACAGGTATAAATGTTCACAGGAAAAAAGCCCATCTAGAAATATGCCCACATAGAAAAATGCTCACTTAGAAATATGCTCACTAGAAAAAAGCTCACATGGATATATGCTCACATGGAAATAGGCCCGCTGATAAATAAAATATGTAGAAATATCCTTACATTAATCAATAAATAATTAATCGATTTGAACATCGTACATGTACTTAGTTTTTAAAAGAATAATTATTTGATCATTTAAAAAATTATTGGACAAATGCTCACATAAACGTTTTCAGAGGCGATATATAAAAGAATGAAAGCTATAGTAAAATTTTGCGTGTACTATAATTTCTTATACCGCTGCCCCTGTACAACATTTTTATTCCTGTAACTGCCAATCATTAATACTTTTTTTTACTCTATTTTTGCATACTTTTGATGTGTATCTATAGAAATTGATATTTGAATATAGTTATTTAAGTTTGGATCCAAAAAATTTCTAGAAGACCACAGTTTCCAATCGAAGTGTGGAATCATTATGAAGCAACTTTCGAAAAATCTCCTAAAACCACAAACTGTTACGAAAGCTTTCACAAGAGTCTAAATTCATTATTTAATTGTAGCCGTCTTAATATGTGGTGTTTATATGACGGACTGAAAAAAGATTTAGCGTGTCAATGTTTATTATTAGTTATTGTAAATACGTAACATACTGAATTAAAAAAATATATATGTGAAGCTTACATTTGGTAATCATGAATCATATAAGAAACTATGATGAAATCGATGATAAAATTAGACATTTACATGTATTAGCTAATATTCAGCATGTTTATGTATTTATAACTTTTTGAAATATATATTTATGATTTATATACAATAAGGTATTTTACATAATTTAAATAAAATAATTATTTATGTTTGCTTATTCTTCTAAGTGTTTAGATTATAAAATGTGTAAACTTACACTTACTATGACTTTATTTTTTTAACAATTAAAATTGTAATAGTTTCTCACTGTATATTCTGTTTCATTTTTCTTCCTTCTCTCGTTTTCCTAATCCAAAACGGCCCATTTATTAATCTTATACAGCAACTAAATCTACACATAAGTTTCACAATTTTTTATATATATATATAGGCATACCATTGTAATGTTGCGCGCCTCCAACTTACACGCAACCAAGAGGTGACTGTGGAAACTGTATAAAACACAGAGTCTTGTGAAGGGTTTAAGTCCCTTTTTATTCAACGTAATAAATTACAATTGCATGCTCTTGACGCTCACAGACTGCGCCTACTTGGCGGTCAAATAAAAATAATAACCTGAAAAGAAACTAAAGACAAGACTCTAACTACGAGGCTCTCTAAAATAACTAACTCACCGCGTTTTACAACACCGCTGCTAATTCAGCAGACTTGAAGCTCACTTGAACGATTAACACTACTTCCCTCCCGCCAAGCACATAGGCCGAAACGTGGGATTTCTTCAATTTCTCGCGCTAACTACCTCCACGCTCGTGAAGTAAGAATATCACACCGAACTCGTTTCCTTCTATTTAAATCATAATACTATACTTCCGCTGATAATTTGAATCCTTGCGCGTTCTACTAAAATTTACATATTCTGGCATTGGCAGTTCCAGGGGAAAGTAAGGCTTGACAGGAAAGATAGTTTAAACTTAAAATAAATGTTAGTTAAAATAAATATAAACCCTACATTTGCCGCTGCCAGAATTTGGAAAACTTGGAAGCAGGTCCTACAAACGACCTGTTGTAAGTTTCTCTAATTCTGAACTAATTGGCGAGAACCTCGTTTACACAAAAAAATCTTATGTAACAATTTGTATACTAAAATTCTGTTGATCGTTATAAAGCTCTCTTCTTACAGCAAGTTTTCCTGGACTTCATCAATCAATCTTGGTCTTTCCTTCCAGCATCTGGAAGGAATAAGTATCAGTATCTTTCTACATACATTATAATTTACACTTTCTTGACACAATAAATTTTTGTTTTTAAACGATTCGTTTTTCTTAATTATTGCTTAATTCACATTCATTCAATTTTTCAAGCATTAATTTAACTTTACCCTGGCTCTCCACCGTGTGTGGTGTCAAACGGGAATATTCGTGTTTTAGTCTTACAACACTTCCCCTAACCACCATGATTTGTTAGAATTCAACGACCAAATAGACACACCTTACTCGACATTCTACAACTCAATGAGCTACTTTAATATTCTTAAAAATTCAAATGTAGGTGGAGAACCCTACAAAACACATTCATTCTAACTTCCCCC